CCAATATGTGCTTGCTGTTTACAGCTAACAATAAATAAAATCATGTTATGGTCATTGCTACCCAGATGTTCATTAATATGGACATTCATAATAAGCTCTGCATGATTTGAGATTACCAGGTCCAGCAGAACATTATTCCTAGTTGGGCTCTCTATAAACTGTACCATAAAATTGTCCTGTAGTAGGTTTATTCATTTTTGCCCTTTAATTGTTCCTGCAGTACCATTACTCCAGTCAATTTCTGAGTAGTTAAAATCCCCCATTATTATCACTGTTCCAGCCCTTGCAGCCCTTTCGATCTGTGCAAGGAGCTGAGTCTCCACCTCCTCATTAACACTGTGAGGCCTATAACAAACTCCAATGATTACCTTTGTAGTACGCACCCCCATGTGCAGTTTCACCCATAACGCTTCAGCCTCATCACTCTCTCCATCAATGTAATTACACTAGGAAAGTGCGTCAATTCCTTTTACAGCTTGTTCAGAATGGTAGCAGTATTTTAAGTATAGTATATCTAACGCCAAAACTATTTTTGGAGTTTGGAAGGGTTGGGGCCCTTTCTCATCAATGTGTTGCATTAAAGTGTGCATTATGCTCGCTGGTGCACTGCGGTGATATTCATTCTGAATGGAATTCCAGAGCAATGCACGGCAACCCACTACCATGCACTGCACTGCTGAAAATTAAGCATGCACTTTGTTTTGTGGTTTGTTAGGCAGCCCAATCAAATGAATTGTCTATCCTAATGCAGTGCACATTAACCTCCCTGGCAGTATTCCCGAGTGTAGCTCGGGGTTAATTATCAGTGCCAAAAGCGGTAATACCGAGCTACACTCAGGATTACCCTGCAGGGTTACTCAGGGATTCCCAGTTTCATTTACCTTGTGCTGCGCTCCTGCGATGTGTCCCCTGCAGTGTCCCCGGTCATCTCCTCCGGCCGATGCTGGCATCCGTCTTCCGGGTTCCGGTCCCTGAAGGCATCGGGACATACGGGAGCCAGAACTGGCGGGAAATTTAAAATTTTTTAAAAAGTGACATTCACTAAATACACTAAAATCACATAGTAAAACATTACTGTATCAAACCATTGCATATACATTTTGTCCCTAGTACTTTTTCCTGTGCCCTGCCTGTATTTTTACTGTTCTTTCTGCCTTGAAACTGAGAAAAGTCCATGGCATCCAAAAAGCGTCCCTTTATGTCAAAAGTGGTTTTAGACCAGCTAGAGAACAGCGATAGTAAATTAGAACCACTTGCAGAATTGAGTGATGATGATTCGTGGGGAAATTCGTCATCAGACACTGAAAACAATTTTGCGACTAAGCTCAGTGATGTGCGAACTTGGCGCTATATTTTCAAATTTCAGTGTTTTTGGTTTGATTATATTATTGAATTAAATTTATTAATATTATATTATTATTTTTTATGAATATTTATTATATAATAATTTATGATTTTGTGTTTCAAATTTTATCATGCCCGGGATGTTTACTAGACTCTTGTTCGGACAGATTTCAGTGAGTTATTTCTAAAAATTTCAGGCCTACAATAAAAAAAATACATATTTCCATGCAAAAAAAAAAATGTACCGCTTTGAGCACAGAAATATTGACATAATCATACCGCTAGGGAGGTTAATGCAAGATGCAACATGCATTAAAGCACATGCATTTAACACATCACAGCGGATCAGGCTGGTGTGAATGAGCCTTTATCAACTCTCCTTGTTTTTTTCTGTCTGTGTTCCACTGAAAGAAGTTGGCCTCTCTTTGTCCAGATGTCACCCAGATTAATGTTTTATGCTGAACCTTGAACTCTTTGCTCCTCCCATGAACTTCCTGATTTAAGCCATGTCTCTGCACTTCCTGTTTGCCAGATTATTGTGCCTTCTCCAGCCAATGTCTTGGCCTTGTCCCTCCTGCTGCCATCCGTACTTTTGCTACCGCTCATTACCGACCTTTGGCTTGTTCCTTGACCACACCTCTGCCCGATCCCAACCTGCAACCACTTGTTACCGACCTTTGGCTTGTTTACTGACTATGCTTCTGTTTGATCCCTACCTGCTATCTCAGCTGCTGGACCCTGGCTTGCTTACCTCCTGGTGGAGCGATCCTGAGGACCGGGACCTGGTACTAACACACAGCAAAACCCATCTCCACTATCAGGAGCGCTGGTGAATACTGGTTAGTACTTAGACCCCGCACCTCATGTGAGCCCGTGTCATCTGCCAGGGTGACTTGCTTGTATACCGTCTTGCTGGTTGGTGGAAGCTTTTTTTGCTGCTATAGCTACTGGTCTCCGAGCCTAACACCTGACCTGGACAGGTGTTTTCATTCTCATAATCTAAATAATAAATACACAGATTTGTTACACTGAAAAAGTAAGTGCACCCCTACAATTTTAACCACTTAAAATCCATGAAACTATAATTGGATGTTCTAGATGCATGCAGGGGCAACCTGTCTTATTTCAACTTTAGATTTCTAGGTTTTGAGTTTCTGGTCATCCCAGCAAATTCAGGCCATGAGCTAACAATTTTATGCCAACACAAGTCTCTAAGAATGCCAAAATGTACTTGTGGGATCTGCAGGTGCTGTATATTGTCAGTATATTGAGACCAGACCATATATATATATATATATATATATATATATATATATATATATAGTTGTCTTCAAAATAATAGCAGTCAGACATCACTAACCTGATCAATCACTGTTTTTGGTAGAAATTATATTTCTACATGGCAAATAATTTACTAGCATGTGTAGTAGAGTAATAGAAATCCAACAGACCCAACAGTCATGACATGCATGCTGCTGATTCTGTGTAATTGAATCACTAATTGAAAGGGGCATGTTCAAAATAATAGCAGTGTGGAGTTCTATTAGTGAGGTCATTCATTCTTTGAAAAACAGGTGGCAATTATTGCCCTTATTTAAGGAAGGAAGGCAGCAAACATTGTACATGCTGGTTACATTGCATTTCTCTCTGAAATTCTGAGGAAAATGGGTCTTTCCAGACATTGTTCAGAAGAACAGCGTACCTTGATTAAAAAGTTGATTGGAGAGGGGAAAAACATATAAAGAAGTGCAGAAAATGATAGGCTGCTCAGCTAAAATGATCGCAAATGCTTTAAAATGGCAACCATAACCTGAAAGACGTGGAAGAAAGTGAAAACTACCATTTCAATGGATAGAAGAATAGCCAAAATGGCAAGGACTCAGCCAACAATCAGCTCCAGGAAGATCAAAGAAGGTCTAAAGTTACCTGTGAGTACTGTTACAATTAGAAGACGCCTATGTGAAGCCAAGCTATCTGCAAGAAGCCCCCGCAAAGTCCCACTGTTGAAAAAAAGACGTGTGCCGAAGAGGTTACAATTTGCCAAAGAGCACATTGACTGGCCTAAAGAGAAATGGCGCAACATTTTGTGGACTGATGAAAGTAAGATTGTTCTTTTTGGGTCTAGTGGCCGGAGACAGTTTGTCAGACGACCCCCCAAACACTGAATTCAAGCCACAGTACACTGTGAAGACAGTGAAGCATGGTTGCGCAAGGATCATGATATGGGGATGTTTCTCATACTACGGTGTTGGGCCTAATTATCGCATACCAGGGATCATGGATCAGTTTGAATACATCAGAATACATGAAGAGGTCATGCTGCCTTATGCTGAAGAGGAAATGCCCTTGAAATGGGTGTTCCAACAAGACAATGACCCCAAACACACACCAGTAAACATGCAACATCTTGGTTCCAGACCAACAAGATTGACGTTATGGAGTGGCCAGCCCAATCCCCGGATCTTAATCCAATAGAACACTTGTGGGGTGACATCAAAAATGCAGTTTCTGAGGCAAAACCAAGAAATAAAGAACTGTGGAATGTAGTCCAATCATCCTGGGCTAGAATACCCGTTCACAGGTGCCAGAAGTTGGTTGACTCCATGCAACACAGATGTACAGCAGTTCTCAGAAACAGTGGCAATACAACTAAATATTAATTAAGTGATTCAAAGGAAAGCAAAATCTTCAAACATTTTTCAGTTTATATAGTGAATGTTTGAGTTTGTAAAGAAGAATACAAACACTGCTATTTTTTTTGAACAGTCTAATATTCACTTTTCTTCAATTTTTTTAGAGGAACAACACAAATTTGATCTATTTTTCTTCATGTTTTGATTTGGAATAGAATGTGTAGTGTTCCCAATGCATTTGTGTGTATGGAAATAAAAGCTATTAGAAGGATTTTAAGCTTTGTTCACTTTTTTTCAACACGCTATTATTTTGAACACAACTGTATATACAGTATATATATATATATATATATATATATATATGAAAAGCAAGGTGTAACTGGAGATGCAAGGAACATCTGGGAAGGGGGAAGCAAACTTCTTGGGATCAGGAACAAGGGGGAGCAGGAATGAGACAGCAGGGTTCAGGGTAAAGGTACTAGGCAGAGAGCACAATCAAAGAAGGGGACAAGATAATGGCTAGCAGTATCTGTCAACAAGCAAAACAATGGAGCAAGGTGTAACAGCAGAAGAGGGACTAAATACCCTACGAGCAGCCAGCACCAAGTGGAGCTTATTACTGGGATTTGCTGGCTGCTGGGAGACACTCAGCAGGGGATCCAGGTTGTTACATAAATCTTACAATAGTTGATGTCAAGGTGCATGTGCTGTGAATTGATGAATATAATATAAAGTTGTTTGGCCTCAGGAACATTAGATATGTTTGACATAAAGCAAAGAATTTAAGCAAAATAACCTCATACCAACCGTGAAGCTTGATGGTAGAAATGCTAAGATGTGATAAAACCCATATACATACAGATGTGCATTTTCTGTGGGAGTAATTTTTGTCACAATTGTTTAATTGCCCTAGCAATATTCTAGCCTGTCCCAGCCCCTTTTACTCTGAAAATACTGTTACATTGAATATTTTTTCTCAGTAAGTTTGCTAAGAAATTTTCTTAACTATAAATTTTGTTCAAGGTCATTCTGGAGAAGACAGGCTCAACTTGTCAGTACAAGACCAAATCCCATTGCAAGCTCCTTCCCGCAACTCATGTCCAATGTGGATGCTGCTTATGAGGTGGCAGAAAAAGGAACTGCATATTTCTTTAAAGGTAAAATAGTTGATGCAAAGCAAATGGATGCCCCAAGGTTTGTAACTAAAGCCATAACAGAACATCCAACCAGAGCCATAACAGCCACAAAGCAAGACTTGGCAGGGACATAAGACCCAGTGGGTGTCCAGGGGCCCAGCTACAACTTTCATTCTCCTGCCTGTCACATCAAAGTGGAAGATGTATTTATAGGCAATTGATGTTGCTTCCCAGTCCTCATCGCTTCTGGTTTCATTCACCACAGAGGAGGTTGGGGAATGGATGTTGCTCCATCTCCTCTGTGCGCAGCCAACCTGAACACTTACCATGGTCCCAACCCCCTGGAGGAACAGGAGAGCCTGAGAACATTGGGCAGCAGTGGGAGGGGAAGGGCTCTGCAGCGCTCTAAAAGTGTTCAGATCACTTTTACAGGAAAGTCGAAAGCCAGCAACTGCAGCCATGATCCTGGTATAACCGCTTGCTACCCAGGACGTTTATAGATGTATACTGGGCATTGATTGGGTATTCTTTGTAAAGTGAAAATGCACAGCATTAACTGAGCTTGCAAAGTGAACAGCCAATTTACCTTTAGTCAACCACCAATTTACCTTTAGTCAAATGTGTACCATAGACAAACTTTCACTTATGTCCTGCTTGCATAAGTGAAAGTTGGTGAGTTGAGATCAGAGATGGATTAAGGTAGAATGGGGACATGCTGCAGGGCCATGAAGGTTGTAGGTGAGCCAGACAGCTAGACATCTTGCCTAGTTTGCATTTTGGATCAGAGCAACAATTCACTAAGATCTTCTCTGTGCAACCCCAGTATGTGTTACCAAGAAAAAAAAATATAATATAGTTACTATAAACTAATAAATCTAATATACTTAGTGTTGCCACTCACACTGCAATGTGTATTCCCACATCCAATTGTATTCAATGTGTCAAAATACACTGTGTGCACAATTATTAGGCAAGTTGTATTTTTGATGATTAATTTCATTATTGGACAACTACAGTGCTCTCGGTCAATACAAAATTATTATTATTATACTATACAGGATTTATATAGCGCCAACAGTTTGCGCAGTGCTTTACAAAATTAAGGTAGAAATGTTAATAAACCTCAAACCTGAATATTTAAGAGAGTAAAAGTGAGGTTTTGGCTCTATGTGTGCACAATTATTGGGCAATTATTAGTGTGCAGAATTATTATTCAACTAAATGAAAAACAAAAATGTTCTCATCTCACTTGTTTATTTTTATCTGGTAAAGTAAGAATAGTAAACAAACAACTCAAAATTTACAAATAAACATTTCTGACATTCCATTGAAAAAAAATCGGTGACCAATATAGCTATCCTTCTTTTCAATAACAGTCATAAACCTTTCATTCATGGAGTTTGTCAATTTCTTGATCCGTTGACTATCAACTTTTTGTACAGCAGCAACCACAACCTCCCATAGTAAATCTCCCATTTAAGAAGGGCCCACAAGTTCTCAATATGGTTTAGGTCTGGTGAGGAAAGGGACCATGCCATTATTCTTTGATCCATAAGGATCCTTTACTGGCTAGCTATGCAGTGGAATACTTCAAAGCATGCAATGGAGCATTGTCCAGCATAAATATCATGGTCTTCTTGAAAGATGCAGACTTTTTCCTGTACCATTGCTTGAAGAAAATGTCTTCTAAAAAATGGCAGTAGGTTTGGGAGTTGATTTTGAGTCCATCTTCAATCCAAAAAGGTCCAACTAGCTCATTTATATTAATACCAGCCCACACCATTACCCCACCTCCACCTTGCTGATCCAGCCACGGACCCATCCATCTGGTCCGTCAAAAGTCACTCTCATCTCATCAGTTCATAAAACCTTTGAAAATTTGTCTTCAGATGTTTCTTGGCCCACTCTTGATGTTTCAACTTATGTATCTTGTTCAGTAGTGGTCGGGTGTCAGCATTCCTTACCTCGGCCATGTCTCTGAGCACTGAGCACCTTCTACTTCTGGGCACTCCAGGTAGGTTGCAGTTCTGGAATATGACAGCACTGGAGAATAATGGGTTCCTGGTAGCTTCACATTTAATTCTTCTCAAATCTTTGGCAGTTAATTTGCGTCTTTTTTTTCTCAACACCTTTCTTGTGACCCTTTTGACTATTTGCAACAAAACATTTGATGGTTCTGTGATCACACCCCCCTATCTTAGCAATTTCAAGAATGCTGCATCTGAAAGACTTTTTAGAATTTTAAGCTTTTCAGAGTCAAGTAAATCTCTTTTTTGGCCCATTTTTGGCCTCTGAGGAAAAGAAGCTGCCTAATAATTATGTACACCTTGATATAAAGTGTTATTCTACTTAGGCCACACCCTCCCTCATTACACAAAATACACATCATCTGATATGTTTAAATCTAATAAGCATTCATGTTTATACAGCTTGGAGTTGGACAATATGCGTAAAAAGGATGATTTGGTCAAAATACTCACTTGCCTAATAACTGTGCACACGGTGTAAGGTTGTGCAGCCAATACATCAAAAAAGCTAGCAGAAATAGCATTTTGGTTAGCAATTTTTATTTATTGGTTTCGCAACATTATTTTGGCACATTGCCTTTTGGATGAGCTGACTCTGAATGATACAGTGATGTCTTGAGGGAGAGGGTGATTAATGGAGGGAAGATTTTGCAATATCAGGAATGTGGGGTAGATCACATAGTCAAGACCCATGAATCAAGATCCAGAAAAAGATTCCTGAAGACACACAGGTATCTACAAAAGAAACAAACATTGCCCCCTAATGCTCTAAAAAAAAAACCATTTTCCACATAAGTGATCACAGGTTGTCATGCATACTGGGTGCAGGTCAGCACTGCAACTCATCACACAGGGTAATAGAGGTATTACCTGTAAAAGCACTGATTAATAGCCCTGACAAACTTGAATGCATCTACTTGTGAATGGATTCTAAGAGCTCATTCAAATGGGAACCAAAAACAGAGGTGTATAGCATATACTTGTGTACTCATCTAAATGCTGTGCTTAAGTCGTCAATTGGGCCTTGAAAACAGCTGCCTCTGCAAATATGTGCTGTGATTAGCAGCGTACAAAAAAGTAGGACAGAGCTGCATTCATATCCATGTTTTCAGCCATAATTAATGCTGTACGCATGTAAATGTTTTCATATGCATCAACATAAAGCGGTCCTATTTGCTACTGCCATTGCTCAAGACCAATGTGTAAATGTCAATAATGTCTAAGTCAGTCATTGCACACTAATAATAGTTACATTAATGTGGCATTGTGTTGGAGGAGATAGTACTCAAAGCAGACCTGATGGGACATGGGGAGGTGGAGCTAGAATAGTTTTAGTGTTATAGTTCCCTATCAGATCCACCTAATGGTTGGCGGAGGCAGGAGTAGAACTTGATTGTCCCTGGCCAATTTCTTCACAGGCAGAAATGGTCCTTCCCACCGGCTGTCAGATCAGACATGATGGAACATGGGGACGTGGAGCCAGAATGGCTTTCATGTTTTTCCCAGTCAGGTCCTCGCTGATGGCCGGTGGGAGGAGCTGTTCTAGCCTTTGTCAAGCCAATCAAACTATACACAGGCAGAAACAATTCAAAGCAGACCTGATGGGGAACTGTGCAATTGTATTGGCATTGGTGGCAGGATTAGCATCTTTTGCTGCTGGGATGCAGAAGCCACATGTGTCCTAGCGATTAGCTGAGTAACGGTGGTGGTCATTAGGGGCCATTTATGCTGTAAGGCTGTATGTATGTAAATGTTGCTCAAACATTACATGTATACAGTGTACAGAGCACTTGTATTCAGGATCCTACTGGCAGCTCCTGATAGCAAAATCCTTCATTGAAAACTGCCATGCCACGTGAATGAGGCCTAATACTAAAATTCCTAAAGAACCATTGTCCATTATGAATGTAAGAGTTTCAATACATGCACAGAACGTGAGACATTTGACACTTGATTTACATTTGCAATATAGCAAGCTACAGTATATCATCATATGAAGGTGTCTCAGCCATTGAAAGTATACATTTTACATTACAGGTCTGCAGTTTAAAATGTTTCTATCATGCATGCCCTATGTTGCCTCCTTGTATGAACTCATGCAACCATTTCAAAGTGGTCATAAGAAAATAGTCCAAAATGTGTTGAATTTTTCCCCAGGACCCCATTACTGGACAACAAGAGGTCTCCAGATGCTAGGACCTCCCCAGTTTATCTATGACTATGGATTTCCCAGTACTGTGCAGAAAATAGATGCTGCTGTCCACTTGAAGAACAACAAGAAAACACTCTTCTTTGTTGGAGAAGATTTTTACAGGTATACTTACAACACACATCAAGGGTTCATGAACATGAATGTTTGTAGGCATTTTATGTGCCTAGTGTAAATTTACTGGAGAATTCTCAGGACTGGCTGTACGCAGCAATACTCTTGTAAATGCCAATGCTTTCTTGCCTGCACGTGAGCATACGACATTTCCCCCGAGCGCAGAGCCTCTGCATTTGGTAAATACGCTGTACATGCATGCGCAGCTAAAGAGTTAAGATCCACCAGCCGCAATGACAGGTACACTCACCTACGCTTTGCAGACACATGACTGCTTGGGGAAAAGATTCAACTTTGAGATTTATTACAAACTGTATGCAGCAGATCTAAGAGTGGGGGGGGGGGGGGGGGGGAGGACAATATCTAAAAACTGAGATATTGCATAGTCTTTGCTTCTACGTTAGCTTGATAATTGACAGATAGATTAGATAGATAGATTAGCTAGATTAGATAGATTAGATAGATAGATAGATAGATAGATAGATAGATAGATAGACAGACAGACAGACAGACAGACAGACAGACAGACAAAATTGCTCCAAGTAAATAAAGGTGTTACTTTTTTTCAAATGATAAGGACGTGCAAGAATCAGCTCTTCAACTTCACAATATGACTACGAATCACAAGTATGCTAAATATGAATAATAATAGAAATACAAATTAGTCATAGGTTCTCCTGTCATTCCAGGAAATAAATTATATGCACTTTACAGTATATAAATACACATGTTGCTTCCATATAAAGAATTTGGTCATCTCTTGAAGGATTGATGAACCCATGTACCCCTTTATAGAATGCAGGTCACCTTCCATTACTATCAAAATATCCAACAGAGGTTCCAATCCTCTCCCATTTCACACTGTTATTCTATAAAATTCAGGAACTATATAATCCAAGAAATATTTCAAGAACCATGGTCTGCACTGCAGCACTTAATTGTAAGTGCATCTGCACTTACAGATTTTCCTTAGTCCTTCTGTATTCTCTCCCAAATACATGGTAAGTCTACTTAATGCAGCTTAATGTGATGGAGTGACAACACTGCTGCACTGCTGCTGAATTCAGAGCAGTGTTGTTACCCCCAAGTAGACTTTGGAGGAGATTTACTAAAAACTGGTGCACTCAGAATCCAGTGCAGCTGTGCATGGCAGCCAATTGCAGGAGGTGTGGCTTCTATCATTGTCCCTTTAAATTCACAAACCTGTAGCTTATTAATCAGTAGCTGGACACACATGGTCCTGCCCAATGCTTTCTGGATTGACAGTACTGCCTCTGCTGCTGAAGCTCTATCAGTGTGAGCTGCAGTGTCTGGGATGTGTAGCGTATGAGACAGATATAAGGCTGGGTTCACACTTGTGCGGTTTCCCTATGACTGCATTGCTTGTGCACAGCTGCCTATTCAAATGACGCAGGGAAAAGGTCCCTGCAGCTTTTCAGAAAATGCATAGCACAGTGTGGGGAAACCACGCTGCAATTTCCAATGTATGGAGGTGCCATTAGGATTAATGGTATTCCCCACGCATCTCCTGATCAGCAGCATGTTTTTCTCTGCAGGTAAGACTGCACCTGTTCCCACAGCCACAGTCCCACATGGGCAACCACATGCACAAATGGGAACCTAGCCTTAAGGAGAATGTGGCTCAATCAGAAGGTAAATACGTTTTTTTTTTTTCTTCTTTGTTTTTGGCTTGTGCATCACATAATGACTGGAGATTGGACCTGGTTAAACTCTCACAGCCTTTAGATTTTTTTTTTAGTCTGCTTTTGCATTCCTATTGACTTATATGGGACGAACTAAAGTCTGTGTACACAGGTCCTAAAAAAAAGTCAGCCAACCCAAATTCCATATTTAACTTCTGTTTAACTCATGCCTATCCTACACAAAATTTGGAATAATTCCAGTCCACTACACAGCTGAATGCCGTAGTGATTTCTTACTAAACTAAAACAACTCAATATTTGTTTGATCGATTGGGGAAAAAAGTGAACATGATCATTGTGATAGGATTCCTTTTCTCTCCAGGATGTACACCTGATTTGGATGATGCAAACCCTTTATAGACTCCAAATTGTTACATAAAGTATGATGATTCTGTGTTGAATGTTGAATAAAAATGCCAATAAAAAAAATTAAAGATAAATTTGTAAAGAGTGGGACCAGCTTTAAAATGTTTTAAATTTAATGAAGATTTTCCTGGAATATCCAAAAACTGTTCCACACAGTCTCATTCTGATTTTAAGAAAACATTGAATCATTGGGAACTGACTGGCATTTAGATTTCTGCTCAATCCTTAACACGGAATTATAGGCAAAATCATATCACATATGACATACAATATATGATGTAGTAATAGCGTGCAATGATTTTCTTTGAGCAGGGAAATTGCATAGCACCATTATAATGCACATAAAGTAAAAAAGAAAATAAATCCTAACTCCAGGTTAAACCAGAAATTACATACAGTTGGGAAAATAATTATTTGATCCCCTGCAGATTTTGTAAATTTGCCCACTTACAAAGAAATGAGCGGTCTATAATTTTTAGCATAGGTATATTTTAAATGACAGAGACAGAATATCATGCAAAAATACACAAAAAACGCATGGTACAAATGTTATAAATTGAGTTGCAGTTCAGTGAGTAAAATAAATATTTGATCCCCAAGCAAAACATGACTTAGTACTTGGTGGAGAAACCCTTGCTGGCAAGCACAGAGGTAAGATATTTCTTGTAGTTGGTTACCAGGTTTGCTCACATCTCAGGTGGAATTTTGGTCCACTGTTATTTACAGATCTTCTCTAAATCCTTAAGGTTTCTTGGCTTTCAGGTGGCAACTTGAAGTTTCAGCTCCCTCCATAAATTTTCTATAGGATTAAGGTCTGGAGACTGGCTAGAGACTGTGCTTCTTCTTGAGCCACTCCTTTGTTGCCATGGCAGTATGTGTTGGGTCATTGTCATGCTGGAAGACCCATCCACAACCTATGTTCAGTGTTCTGGCTGAAGGAAGAAGGTTCTCATCCAAGATTTTACAATACATGGTCCTGTCCATTGGCCCCCTCAATGTGGCAAACCTGGCCTGTTTCTTTAGCAGAAAAAGAGCCCAAAAGCATAATGTTTCCACCTTCGTGCTTGACTGTAGGGATGTGTTCTTTGGGTCATTGTCAGCATTTTCTTCCCCCAAACACGGCTATTCGAATCATTGCCAAAGAGCTCAATTTTTGTCTCATCTGAGCACAGCAATTTCTCCTAATCCCTCTCCGAATCATTTAGATGTTAACTGACAAACTTCAGATGGGCCTGTAAATGTGCCTTCTTGAAGAGGGGAACCTTGCAGGCGCTGCAGGATTTCAATCCATGGTGGCGTATTGTGTTACCAATGGCTTGTTTGGTGACTGTGATCCCAACTGCTTTGAGATCATTCACAAGCTCCTCCCGTATAGTTCTGGGCTGATCCCTCACTTTTCTCATGATCATCCTTACCCATGAGGTAAAACCCTGCATGGAGCTCCAGACCGAGGGTGATTGATGGTTATTTTATATATCTTCCATTTGTGAATAACCATCCCAACAGCTGTCTCCTTCTCATCAAACTTCTCGGTGATGGTCTTGTAGCCCATTCCAGCCTTGTGCAGGTCTACAATCTTGTCCCTGACATCATTTGACAGCTCATTGGACTTGCCCATTGTGGTGCCCAAGAAAGAGATTCTGTGGACAGGTGTCTTTATACACAAAATGGGTTGTCTTTAGGAGCACCTTCTTAAATTGACGGGACATGAGCACATAGCCAGTCTGTGGGAGCCAGAACTACTGTTGGTTGGTAGGGGATCAAATATTTATTTTACTAAACTGCAACTCAATTTATAACATTTGTATCATATGTTTTTTTTCTGGATTTCTGCATGATATTATTTCTCTATCATTTAAAATACACCTATGATAAAAATTATAGACCCTTAATTTCTATGTAAGTGGGCAAACTTACAAAAATCTGCAGGGGATCAAATAATTATTTCCCCCACTGTATATGATGCAGTCTGCCAGTAACATTAACATGGCAGGTTTGTTACCTGAATTTTATTAACTGTTGATCCTACCAGTTGAGTTTTATTACCTGTTCATCCTGCCAGTTGCAACAGGTCAAATGTTCCAACAAAAGTGGCTGTTACAGTTCAGGCAAACGTATAACACTACTGTGAGAGATTACAACCATCAGCTTTTATTTATATATCAAGGTATCCCTCTTTGTTAGTGGTTACAGACTGAGTTGCCTCTCATTTTAAATTGTTCAGAGTAGCTTTCAATCAGCCTGAGACCTGCCCCTTTAAAAAAAAAAAACCTAGAAAGGTATGAAATAGTTTTCTTTAATATTTTAAGGTATGCTTTTTGAATGAAAACATAAAAAAAACATATAGAGCAGGGGCATCCAAACGTTTGGCTTTCCTGGGCCACAATGGAAGAAGAGGAACTGTCTTGGGCCACGCATAAAATGCACTAACAATATAGATAGTTGATGACCAGAAAAAGACAGGCAGATCAAGATAACGATCACTGATATACTGTAGATAATGTACCTACCTGAGTAATAAAACATAATTATTTTGTAATATTTTTTATTATATAAAGTAAAAGAGGGCAACAAAAAACTAGAGCGATATTTGACATTGTTTTGGATAAACTACCGTATCAAGATCTGGTTGGATGAAGTAGCAATTCCCAATGAATTCTCAAAGTGCTCATCAAATATCTTGGTTCTAATTTTGCCCTTTGTGTGCTTTATCCTTGAAAATACAGTAGTTGCTCACAAGTATAGGTGCTGCCAAAAACTGATGACATGAATAAGGTGTGACTGTGAAACATGGAATAATATTCTTTAGAAAAATGTATAAAAGTTCAGTAAAGAGATACTGTCAAATTCTTCATTCGCTGCATGTGTTTGCCAAGTGTAAATATATTTAAAAAAAAATCCCAAAAATCTATATTTAAGAAAGTTTTTGCATTGGGCCGCAGGTTGGACACTCCCGATATAGAGGGATTTTCTCATATTTTACTTTAAAAGTGGAAAAATTCTGGGGGGACATTCACACGGCACAACTTGGCTCACGCATGCGCTCTGGAAAACTGGCTGTAAAGCAGCAAGAAGTCACAGCCAGCTTCCCACAGTAAACATGCTAGTGTATAGTACAGTATTTGTAGCTGCTGACTTTTAATTTTTTTTCAAAAAGACCAAAGAATCTCATTAATAAGTGTTAGCTTGAGTTTAGCTTTAGTTTGTTTTCTTTTAAAGCCTATTTAAAGCTACATATGAATCTAAGATTTCCTCGCCAATAGGTGATAACACGGCTGTACAATCTCAAAGTAAATCAAACTGTGTTGTCACTTTGTTAAATGGAAAATGAACAAATCTACTTGCAAGAATAAAGGGTAATAAAACTATGTTGCAGAGAGGACTCTGGAAAAACAAAAATGACCATGTTAATGTTACTGACAGACTGCATCATATATTGACATTTTTGATTTTGCCCGTAGTTCAACTGTAACTTAATAAGTTGTACAATCAGGCTGTTTCCAGTTATATAACTCTAGTTCTCTATCTTCAGTTATGATGAAGCAAACCAGGTCATGGAAAAAGATTACCCCAAAAGCATTGATGATGAGTTTTCCGGGTAGAGGGAAATGTGGATGCAGCAGTTGAAGTAAATGGTGAGTGTCCCAAATAAATAATTCAAGTAAATAATTTTATGTGAATTAAAACTGCAATAGATTAAAACCACATATTGCTTAACATCTATACAAGCCTTTCCCAAACTATTTAAACTTAAAGTATATCTGAAAGCAAAATAAAGCAAAGAAGTAATGACCCTGGTGACTACCAGGGATTTTGCTCAATTTTGAAGGATTTCATCTCTTTTTCTGTTGTGGATATGGAACAGGAAGTAAAGGGAAATCTACTCAATAGGACAAAGGTGGCAAACAAAATTACAGGGGTTATAACACTCTCTTACTTTATCCAAAATAAAAAAAAGTCTTGTCTTCAGTTCTACTTCAAGGAACTCAAATCTACAGCTTAAGGTACATTAGTGTACATTGCATGAGTCAGTACATTGCAGTGTCATTAATTTTCAATAGCACCCCCCAACCCACTAAGGGAACCTATGTGCCCTTGTAGCAGATAGTAACTCTGTCACAATGGGTAGTAAAGATGGATGCATGGGCTGTTCCTTTTCCAAACAACTTTTTATCCAAAAGGCCGGAATATGAACTACTTTAAGTATAGAAAGTTTACGGTTTAACTTTCCAAGCAGTAAAGTAAGTTTATCAACAAGTATTCCTAATGGCTCAGGAAAACCTATATGCAGCTCTTTTGTGTCCCAAGATAAGACACCCAAATCTCGCAGGAATTCTGTGTCAAAATGTAACATAGGTTCCCCCAAGATGGCACCTTGTGTTTCTCACCCTGAATAAGGTGTGCACTGATCACGTATTTTCCTGGTGTCATTTGTTGGCCCATACACACGCTCTATACAGATCAATCAGCGCAGCCACACTGAAAGAATTTACATGACCCAAACAAACAAAAATTACAAACAAGGCTTTGTAGCACACCTTCAAACTAACAAAATCCAAACTATAGTCCTGAGCACAAACTTTATTGTATCATCTATTTGTGAAGATTATCGTGGACTTTATTTATACAAGGTGGATTATTACATTATTCTATTACACATATATGGTAATTTTGTAATTAATTTTAAAGGTTGCTCAGCACAACTGTTTAGATTTTGGCCTGTACACACAGCCTATAGTAGAGTAAATCTTCACATTCCAGTGTTGGAAGTTTAAATATAAAGCACGCCACATGGTCCTGCACAGGTTAATGCATGACCTCTGGCTGTAGTCTAAAAACTAACACTTCCTGTAAGAAACCATATATCCCACAATCCCTGGGTCTCTCAGTCTAGTGCTTTGCAGATGAGAACTACATAGTAATTAGATTTGACTCGGGCAGAACAATTAATAGAGAGCTCAAACTTACTGGGAGAGATGTGTTTTCATCACATTAGCACTTCCACTTTTGGGATGCCACACAGAGGAAATGGCTAGGTATGCACTGGATAATGTAACCCAGAACAAGAAGTTGCCTGTCCTTCTGGTGAATAGGGACAAACTACCTGCAGCAACACATGGATAAAGGGTAATCGATTAGATGCTACAAACTGGAGCTTCAACATGTGAGCCCAACATTACAATCTAAAGCAAACAAGCAACACAGGGAATATAACTACATTAATGCCTAGTTAAAACAATGAAAACATTTGAAAGTGTACAATGCCATTTAGGTGTGTTAAATAGAGTGAGTGGGGCAGCAATCCTAGCCCCGCAACCCCAGTAAGGATCATATTTAAGTTAGTCTTGGGTGTTAGCCAGCAATGGACAGCTTGAATTTTTTTGGGATCTTGGGATACCCCTTTGGTTTTCATGATACGGGATTCAATTTCCTATTAGATAATTATACCTGGGTTTGAGCTTAAAGCTTAAATAGAGAAAACTTGAATGTTGAAGATTTTCTTCAAAAGTTTTGTAAAATATAATAATATAATGGAAGAAGAGTGAAATTAGAATCTGACAAGCATGATTCCATCAGCTCTGGAAGCATTGGTTAAACCAAATGACATGTGGTTAAACTCAAAGAAGCCCATAGGCGTGATAGAGACTTTTCATGTTCTTCAGTGACCAGAATTTCCTGTATCTACTTACTAAATCCAAATCAGAAAAGAAACAAGCCTGCCCTAGGGTCAAGTCTTTTACAAGGAAGAATAGTTGCCATGAGACTTGAGGTTAAAAAGTTATTGATAAGACGAACTCAAGAGATGAGCAACAAAAATGGTGAAAGGTCTGAGGGATAAAAAACATATCAGGAAGACTTTAGGAACTTAATATGTACAGTCTGAAGGAAAGAAGATAAGGGGGGAGACATGATTGAAACCTATGAACACATCAAGGGGTTCAATAAGGTACATGAGAGAGTAGTATTTTCAATATGAAGTCAAGATCAAGAAAATGGAGACATGACCTCAAATTAGCAGAGGGAGGTTTTAAAACTAATCTAGAAAGTAATATTTCACCAAAATAGTAGTTTGAATATACTTCCAGCAGAGGTAGTGATTCAGTCAACAGTAAGACATAAAAGTTACCATAAAAAACCCCATAAATATATACATTTTTTAAAAATATGGTAAACTCGATGGACCACTTGGTCTTTTTTTTGCCATTATTATTATTATTATTATTTTACAGTATTTATATAGCGCCAACAGTTTGCTCAGTGCTGTACATTACAATGGGAGACAGTACACGAGACTGTACAGTAACAATTCAATTCGATACACGAGGGGTTCGAGGGCCCTGCTCCTTGGAGCTTCCAATCTAGGAGGGGGGGATAGTGGTACAGGAGGAAATAGCTGTGGGGGATGGAGTGGTAGGAAGAGTGGAGGAGATCGGCAATTAGCTGAGGGTGGGGTAGGCTTCCCTGAAGAGATGGGTTTTCAGCGTGCGCCTAAAGGAGAGGAGGGTAGGTGATAGTCTGATGGATTGTGGTTGGGAGTTCCAGAGGATGGGGGAAGCCCTGGAGAAGTCCTGGAGATGGGCATGGGAGGAGGAGACCACGGAACTAGTGAGTAGGAGGTCTTGCGAGGAGCGGAGAGTATGTTTTGAGTGGTATTTGGATATCAGGTCGGTGATGTATTTTGGGGCAGTGTTATGAATAGCTTTGTAAGTCAATGTTAGCATTTTGAATTTTATCCGTTGGACAATCGGAAGCCAGTGGAGGGATTGGCAGAGGGGGGTGGTGTATACGGAGCGGTTAGTAAGGTGGATGAGTCTGGCCGCAGTATTCAGGATAGACTGAAGCAGGGATAGCCGGTGGTGAGGTAAGCTGGTGAGGAGGAAGTTCCAGTAGTCGTGATATGATAAGGGACTCTTCTATGCTTCTATGTTCCTCTATACTTTGATTGGTAGACTGTAGTGAAACACACATGGCCTCTAACCCTGGATACTGAATGCACATCTGCAATGATAAGGTGAGAGGACAGTCCAATAGGAGTTGAACCTAGGTTGACCAACTGAGATCCTGCTCTACTGAACTATAGACAGGGTCTGGCTACTACCCATTCACCCTTCACCTCTAGACTCCATCCTGGTTCTACCATTACTATAGTTCCTCACATTTTTTTTCTTGTTTCAACTTGAATTGGGAAAACATCCTCTTTACAGGTTGGCAAATGTACCATCCCAATCTTTTCCATTGAGCGTGTTCTGCATGTAGTGAGCTTGACAATGTTAACAAGTCTCCACAGTTTGAAAATTTCTCAGGACTTGTTGATATTTCTTGTAGGAGTTCTAGTATATTTTTCATGCAGAACATTCATACTTGCAAAATAGGGACCTTTGGAAAGAGGAACCACAGGTCATCACACTAATTTAAATGCTCAACCAGGCAACCCCCACTGGGTAAATTGCCTTCAAAGCTGTCCAGGAAGAGTCAAGAAACTGACCATAAAGTTGTTTATAAAAGGCATAGTCCATTGTAATAATCTCAGGTGCAGTATCTATCAAATATCACACTAGCCAACCATTAAAAGCTGCTGTTGCTACCGGACACAACTTTAGCTTTCGGGGGGTTAGATAAGATACCTCACACAGCTTCCCTTTCTGCCACTTTCATTTAAAAGGTGTGTGTTGCTGAGGCATGTCCCTCACCCACAATTCCTAGCAATATGACTAAGTTTCCCACATTGACAACATCTCCGGTCAATATATCCCTTCAAAGGGAATCTATCCTATACAAAGTCTGGGTAACATCCTACTAAAAGTGTTACTAAACCCAGGACCCTGCATCCACTATATCTGGTCTCCCACAGTACACAAAACATAGAAATGCAATTATTTTAGTAAATATAAACTGCTAAATACATTTTCTCATCAGCAGTATATAGCAGTCTTGTGACTTCTATCAATGTTCAGCCAAGCACTAGCTTAAGCTTGTAGGAGGAGTTTTCTTTCTGCTCTATGAGGATGCAAAACCCTTTACCAGTGCTGATTGGCCTTGTGCTGATCACATGCACTCTCTCAAGAAAACAAAAAACCTCTCTAGCAGTACACACCAAACTGAACGTGTGCAAAATGCCTGCGGTTCAGTCTGTCTTATCGGGGATAAAAAGGGGACGCTTGAACAAGGGGAGGAACAGAGCAGTGAGGATCAAATGGCCTTTTTACACAATGCAGAGGATTAACCCCTTAGGTTCCACAGTGAGTATAACAAGCATACTTTACAGTATATACAGGTTGATTTTTACTGTTGTGGGTTTAGCAATACTTTAACAGCCATTAAAGCTTGCCTTATGAAGGCCAAGAGCTTTACAGTATATGATCTTGGACAGCATTCTCCAACACTGACAAAGGAGAGAAAACTGTCACATAACCCATTGCAACAGACACTCCATCTGTTATCCAGGTTTTGTCCTTCTCTTGATCATGTTCCATAGCTTCTTGCAAGATGGCAGAGAATGTAGCATTGCCATCTGTTCTAAGTTGATCTTTCACTGCCCCTTTCAGATATCTTGTCCAAATCCCAGAGATAAACTGGCCATGCATAAGGTGATCAGGATTTG